ATCTGCCTTATATTTCCTTAAATAAGAAACAACATTCTTGCAAGAAAACTATAATGTGTGGACAAATGCAATACATCCTTTAATGAGGTTAAGCCTCATTCTCATTTTTTCTCCATGGCATTTGCTTTTAACGGAGAGACCCCCCCGAAATAAAACGCAATATTCTTGCAGAAATACAATATGTTAACAAATGCAATACATCCTTAATGAAGTTAAGCCTTACCATCATTTTTTCTGCATAACATTTGCTTAAAGGACAGATTCCACTTCTTAAACATGATGTTTGTTTTGTTCTGTTGTTTCACTCATATGGAAGGGCATACTGCATACATGCAACCATGTATCTTCCCAAAAGTATTATATATATATACACTTCTACTTCACAATAATGATTCTTTACATTATTGCATATTTTTCAGTCAATTGGTTCACAACCTTATCAAGGTATATAGGAAGTTTTGCGTATACTGGTGCCAACACGTTCTTTAAGGAAGACCATATTCATTTAAAATAGGTACTCAAAGGATTCCATTCTGAATTGTTGTCCTTTTTCCATTTCTTCTTTAAAGGAGCTTTGCACAGCTGTCTCTTTGAAAATGACTTTGGATTCATGTCAAATAAATGCTGCACTCCCTTATGTAAGGGGACTGTGCAAAATGATGCCACTTTATGCAAGGAAAGATGTGACTTTATGCTAGGAACGTCATATTATTGGGAAAATTTGACTAAGAGCCAAAAGAACTTCCAGTAGGTCAAAGGTTACCAAAACCAAACAAAAAACAAGAACACCAAGAAAACAAAAAAAACAAAAAAAACAAAAAAACAAAAAAACAAAAAACAAAAAAACACAACCCTATGTCACAGGCACTCTGGCCCAGTAGGTCTTCTTGGTTTTCTTGTTTTTTTTTGTATTTTTTTTGGTTTTGCACGCCCAAGGGAAGGATGCAGAGAGTTGAGTCTTGTCATTTGTTTTTTTTCTTGCCAATCAATGCATATGTCAAAACAGAGAATATGTAAAGAGGAGTGCAAAAAGCGCACTCTCACAGTCCCCTGTTCTGTTTAGCTTTTGAGGGATTCACTGCTCGCTTGTGCCATGCAGGGCCGTGTCCTTGCACGAGCTTTTTCACATTTTTCGACGGAGAACTTAGCAGAAAAAACATCGGCACAGGGCTTGTGGGTTCTGTTGTGAAATGATTGAAATGTGAAGGGAATCGCACAGATAGGAATCGGATTGCGGTTCCAGAGTCTCTATTTTGTCAGTGGCCGGGTCTAGTCAGCTGAAACTTGTTGACGTGTGGCAATGGCATGGAGCTGGCCTTTACAGCTTTTGTCGATTTGCGGCTCAAACTTTGTGAATCCTGGAGGAACCCATGTTGGACGCCGCTATCTTGCTGCAGCATGGCTCAACCGGTGGGTCTGAGGCATGGTTGGATCCAAATTCACTTGGTCCCACCATGCCTGGGGCACTGTGGCAAATTTAGCTTCCACTTAAGCTGGGCAGCCTTGCAAAATCTCTGATTGTAATAATGTGCAGATGTATAATATTTAGTTTTTGAACATGGAACAGCCCTCCATTGATAGATGATTTTCCAGGTATAAAGTTCAATTTATCGGGGAGTTCCCATCGCCAAGCTAGATGGAGGACAAGACCAGAGGCATTTTCAAGGACTGGAAGCCACCCCCAAAAAGACTTCAACTTGTCGCTTTGCATCGCACGTCCAATTGTGATCATTCATATCAATCCTGCGCAGTTCGAAAAATCTGCCTTCACGATCTGCTTTGTCAAAAATAGCAGATGCTTTAGCTTCAGAGTTTGGATTTCCCATGGATTTCCCATGGATTTCCCACGTTCCAAGATCCCATCTTTGATCCGTCCCATTGTGAACGCCGTTGTGCCCCACCGGGTCGGCTACGCGGGTGGCCCGCGCCGCCTCCGCGCTGAAAAAGCGCAGCCTCTTTTCAAGCCATGGTATCCAGGAGACTCAACGAATGGAGTGGGGGATATTTTACCATAGCAACATATGGGTATGGATCAATACCTATTAATACCATTTTTAGGGGGATGAACATCCATTTACCAGCTATTTTGATGTTCACCAGGGGTACAAGGTTTTGACACACTGCCACATATCGCTATGATTTGGGGGACTCAACTTTTGGGGGATATTGACAAAGTTATTGAGAAGTTGATGGAATATATCATGGGATATTCAGATTCTCCACCAAGTTGCTGCTTGGTGGTCGTTGTTTTGGGATGGCTCAAGCACCAGCGACTTTCCAGATGACTTCCCTACGGCCCCGACGTTTGCCCGTGACCGATCAGATTCTCAAATCAATGCGTATACCTACCCTCTGGTAATTTAACGTAGCTATGGAAAATCACCATTTTTAATGGGAAAATCCACTATAAATGGCCATTTTCAATAGCTATTTTGACATAACCAGAGGGTAGTTTTTTTAAAAAAAACTTTCCAAGACAACAAACCCTGAAACCTGGAAACTGAAGCCCTAAAACCCTCAACCCTAAGACCCTTAATATAAACCCCAAAACCCGAAATCCTGAGACCTAAAGTCAAAATTGCCGCGTATAGCCAGTGTTTTTGTTCATCCTCAGGTGATGTATTATTTGGATATGGGCTATGGGTTGGGGCGAAACACATTTGTAGAGGTGAACACCCCCAAATTAGCTCATTCGGTTCTTTTATGTTCAGGGATTTTCACCGGGTTACCAGTGTCTAGTCTAGACACTTATCCTTATCCACAAGAGATTCTTCGAATTTCCGGTGTTAGGGATTGCAAATGAAGTAGTAGACCCAGCTCCAATTCTTGCATGCCGATCGTGTGGCTCGTTCCTCATCTTGCTCCAGCTAGGCCCCAAAATGGGGTGTCACTGAACAGGCCACGATAAGAACTGAAAATCCCACCAGATGTCATGGCCGCACCCCCTCACCAAGCAGCTACGGCAACGACAACTGGCCACTTATAAGTTGGGTTGATTCATCCCCAGCTGTCCAATTCTAACCTCAGTTCGCCATTCTATGGTGGTTACTCAGGTTCCTCAACTTCCAAGTGTTCATCCACCTTTTGGGACAGCCTCTGGTTCCAACTTGCTTTCAAGAAGATGAAATGCGACAATACAATGGATTTCTCGGGTATATTGCCAGAGTTTTATAGCCTTAGTCTTTAGCTTCATAGTTACCCTACCACTCCACAAAACACCAAGCAGTATCCAGTGTCTAGGTGGCACCTCCCACCCACCGCTGGCGCGTTTTCGCTACCCGCGCTGCTACCATGGCTTGGTGCTGAGCGCTTTCGGCCACGGGCCGTAACGCCCGGCCGGGCTGATGGGCCTATGTGGCTGCAAGCGAACGGTGGATCTGCCCCTGAAGTCAAAAACCGTCTCGTCGCGAAGTCTGCCTGCGAGGCATGGCCACAGGCCCACCATTATCTTGCCGTGACTCGGATGGGCTTGGGAAAGTGATGGGTATTTATGGAACTTCCAAATTTATGTTTTTTTTTTTTCGAAATTTCTTTGGAAATAGAAGTTCCAGAGCGTAACCATATATATATTAACCACATATTCACCATTATAATAACCATATATGGGTATGGGTCAATACCTATAGATACATTTTTAGTGGGATGAACATCCATTTACCAGCTATTTTGATGTTCACCAGGGGTACAAGGTTTTGACACACTGCCACATATCGCTATGATTTGGGGGACTCAACTTTTGGGGGATATTGACCATCATTATATATTAATCACATATTTGCTGGCCCACCAGTGGAGCAGATAGCTGGAGACATCGATGACTGTTAAACAGAAAAGCGCCGATGACTTGCTCGTTGTACCAACTCATACCTTTGGATTATGTATTATATATTAATATATATTATAATGTATTATATATTATATATACTGTATATATATATATATTATATACTGTATATATACGGCACATGCCTGGGCTTTGAGCGGCAGGACAACAGCACCTGAATGTAAAGTTTAACAGGGGTGCAAATTTTGCTTCTTCATTTTCCCGATTGAACGTACAATTTCATGGGGGTGCGAAATTTGATTTTTCTTCATCTTTCCAATTGAATGGGGATGGGAACCAACCACATTGCAACGCCTGGGCGGGCAAAGCCCAGGCGTTGCGCGCTTACACATATGTGTATATATTTGTCGAATTGGACTAGATGACCTAGATGTTGTTCCTGGCAGAATATTATTCAAGTTGATGGTCTTTTCTCCCCCCTCTCTCTCTCTATACATGTATATTTCTATCTCCATAATATATATATATATTATATATGTATGTATGTATGTATGTATCTGTAGATTATTACATGTATATATATATATATGATATAATATATATATACATAATATAATATAATATAATATAATATAATATAACATAATATAATATAATATAATATATAATATGATACAATATAATATAATATAATATAGTATAATATATAATATATAATATTTAATATATATAATATATAATATATATTATATAATACATAATATATAATATATAATAAACATATATTATACATATATTATATAATATATATTATATAATATATAACATATAATATATATTATATTATATTATTTATCACATATCATATAGTATATATAATATGAAATATATAATATATAATATATAATATATAATATATATTATATTATATTATTTATCACATATCATGTATAATATATAATATATAATATATAATATAGAATATAATATATATAATATATATAATATATAGTATATAATAGATAATATATAATATAATATATCATAAATAATATATTATATATGATATATAATATATAATATATACTATATGATATATGATATATAATATATAACATATAATATATAATATATAACATATAATATATAATATATAATATATAATATATAATATAATATATATAATATATAATATAATATATATATAATATATAAT